GATCGCGCGCGCGCGCGCGCGCGCGCGAGAGAGTGGCCCGCGCGATAATTGAGGATACCTCGAAAGGGTAATTACTACGTGGCCGACGAGCGCCAGAGAGTGGACGCTCGAGAGGAAACAAGCGGTGGCTCGCTGGGAAAGATACGGAGTATCCGGCAAATTACAAGGCTCGAGAGGGCCTCCAACAAGCGAGTTACGATTGGGGGTGCCTCGAGTAGGATATTACACCCGTGGCACGGAGCTTTTTTGTTTGCAAGGGAACACATCGCAAATCTGAAAAGCGGAGAGGAAAATCCAGAGAACTCTCGATCGAATGACCAGTGAAATATACGAGAAAAGAATAGACCGAAGCTACACAGTGACGGAGAGTATAAATAACGAAAAAGATGTAAAAAAACATGTAATAAAAATATATATACACAACATACGTAGGTGCGTGTGTGTAAAATATACAAAAGTAATGATAAAATGATGAAACAAACAAGTGAAATGATAAAAATGATAAACAAAACGAAAAAATACAAATGACGGCGATGAAACGAGAGCTACCGGTGCCTTTTCACGATATTTTACCGTAACTATTTTGGTAACGATTTTATAGTAACGAAATTGTAAACTTATCGTATATTTTCGTCGCGCGGAGTAATTATTTTTCAGCAAACTATGCATTCATTCCGCATTATTGCACGAAAAGATAATTCCGAGACAATCGTCAATGTCACGAGAGCCGATATTTATCTAAGATATTAATACGTTCGTACACACGCAGAAATTCAGAGAGAAACACAAGTTTCCTAATAACTCTCGTCAATAACAAGGTGATCGCGATTTCGCGTGTGTTTTTCGCGCAACACGCAAAGCATCCGACGAACACGCGAGCTCGCGGAAAGCGGAAACATCGCTCTATTTAAACGTCAACGCATCATGGACGCAAAATTGCGACACACAGTGCGATTCATAACACAGTCATTTGAACAACCGATCCTTCGATTCGACACCGTCGTAAACACAACACAATACGCGTCGAGCACTGCCCGTGTCGCACCGTAATACGCGTACTCGATGTAATTCGATCAAAGTTACCGCCGTATTTTCGACCGTTGCATTTTTATCATAATTTCAGATAAAGCTAAGGAGAACACTGTCCTCCTACGTGTCCCTGGCGTTACGACCTAGATAAAGCTCAAGAATAAAAATACGAGCGAACGAAGAGACGCTACTTCCTAATCTTGCTCGCTGAAGTGCAAAATCAAAAAAGATTGCTGGAAACAAGAAGCTCGTAAATAAAAAAATACCAAAGTACTTAGCCTCTCCAAAATACGATTGCGGCGGCGCGGGCTACTTTTTCAAGATGCATCCGAAAGTTTCATAGCTTTGATCGCGCGCTTCCGTTTCATATATATCAGCCGACCGATTCGATCGCCGACACGACTTTGCAGCCACGCCGAGAGCAAGTTTCGCATACTTTGCGAATACTTTCGCCACGAGAGAAGAGGGCGAGGGGGCAGAGGGGGAGAGGGAGGGGGGGAGAGAGAGAGAGAGAGAGAGAGAGAGAGAGAGAGAGAGAGAACGAGACGACGTTAGTATTGCTCAAACACCCGTTGCACGTCGTCGAATGCTTGCCACGTGGTGGTAGCGCGGCAACCGGTAACAAATCGTCATTTCGGTTGCTCTCTTCTCCCGATATACAGTCGCGACACACATCCGTCGATATTTATCACGTATCTCGACGAAAGCCCATCGCCGCGTTCTTCCCGCTCGTCGCCGTCCACTGATTTGTCTCGCTCTCTCTCGCTCTTGTCAGCGCCACGAGCCGCCTGAGGTCTCTCCACCTCGATAACCTTCCCCGAGGTTTCCCCGCGGCGCGAGACGGAGTTGGCGAACTTTCGCCGAGCTCACCGTCGTAATTTTGTCGATTAAAACCGCTCGCGAGCTGTCTCGTCGGCTGATCGCGCGCAATTAAAAACAGTTTGATTTAAACAATCGCACAGTAGCAAGGGTCCGTCCAACTCGAGAGCGATAATTAATTTAAACGTTTATCTTTCCGGCATATTTGCCATCTGCAATTTCCGTCGGAAGTGAGGAGATGGATTCGATCGTAACACACCCCTCCGTGTTCACGAGGGTGTCGCTATCTCTTACATCCCTCTCTCTTTCTAGAGGTTCTCGCTCCTCGCAACGCCCCTATAGGCAACTTTGCCTGTCCTCTCTACTTTCGCCAGTCATGTACCGCTCCTGTTTTTCCCTCTTCCCACCATCTCCGTCGCTTGTACCTTCCCAGCGACGAGTCGCTCTTGCCGTCACACAATCCGTGCCGGCTACTTCTCGTACTTTTGATCGTGTGAGTGAACCTCGGCAGAATGTGAGTGTGAGAGAGAGAGAGAGAGAGAGAGAGAGAGAGAGAAAGCGACAAACGTTGGCAGACAGGGGTGGTTGCCAAGAGGCTGTAGTAAGTACAAGGAGTGAAATCGAAACTTTGCCGGCATGTGCGAGAGAGCGTGTCTATATGGAAAGCAGTCTGCGCCGAACACGTACGGAAATTGCTTCGCTGGCTGGGCGCGCGTCGCACATTTTCGCTTATTACAATATTTAAGTTGCTGTAAATTTGATGTTTCACTGATAGTACGAGGGCGAAAGGGGGACGGAGGAGAGCGGGCTTAACCGGTGCGCTCAGCGCGCGCGCGCGCACGAGTTTTCCTTTCGCATAATGATCGCGTTAGAAACTCATTTTCCAGCGGCGGCTCGGCGCAGTGGCGACGTCGGTTGCAGTATCTCGTTAATTAATACTTAACGTACCGAAGCCCCCCGCGCGCGCGCGCCCGCCCGTGGTGCGCTTCGCGAAAAGAGCGTACTTGATAAATGCGATCAATTATGCAGGCAAACGTGTAAATTAGCGACGAGCGTAATACGAGAACGGTAAATATTATCGGTGGAGCATGGGCAGCAGCTTGTAAAAGGGAATCACGATAATGATACGTGTGGTTAACTCACGACTGCGTTAATCTCGCTCTAAGTAAACAGCGAGACACGTGAAATAATATCGCCGACTTTGCCGCTAACAAGTAATATTGATTCAGTGATAATTAAACTTGCATTCGGCCATCGATAATAGGTAATTCGCGATATAATGTTGTTTCGCTTTAGACATTTCCGCTCGTTTTTGTTCGGAGTTCTCGCCGCTTCTGCGGTCTCGCCTCTGTCTCCTCTTTCCGTCCCGTGTTTCTCGTCCAATTATCTTCCTCTTTCCCTTCTTTAGTAGCGATAAGCATGCGCAAAATATAGCGCCCTTTCGAAATGCCCCAGGAGCCATAAAGCGAAGTAATTCTTTCCTTCGGATGAGGAGCGTATGCGTCGCGGCAGCGACAAGGGGCAAGGGGCAAGGGGCAGAGGCTACAAGAGCACTACGCGTCGCGAGTCGGACGTAATCGTAAAAGTAATTTACGTTCACGTGGTTTACGTCCAGCCCAGACACGGGCGCCATTTCCGGTTCGAAGGGTCGCGCGCTCGCTTCCGCAGAACCGAGCATAATAATCGTTCGAATCGACATTGTCGTTGGCATAGAAAAACGGCCAACGCCTCCATATTACATCGAGAGAGATCTTAACGCATCGGGGCACAATGCGACGCGGTCGGAGCACGTGTGACGGGAGCTTTCGCGCGTGCATTAAAAATAAAGCGGGACGAGACGACGGAAGCGCGAAGGAAGAGAGCGACGAGGTCGGCAACCTCGCTCGCTCGCTCGCTCTCTCTCTCTCTCTCTCTCTCTCTCTCTCTCTCTCTCTCTCTCTCTCTCTCTCTCTCTCTCTCTCTCTCTCTCTCTCTCTCTCTCTCTCATGTTATTTATAACGAAAAATCTTCGCGCGACTCGCTTGTGCTGCTCTATTGTGTTCGCAACTATCTCGCTGATGGAACTCTCGCTCGCTCGCGCGAGGATCGTCATGATCGCTTCCAGTCGCGACGCTCGTCGTCGCGCGTGATTCTTAGCTAACTGCAATCTCGTAGCAACCGTTCGAGCAAACTTAACGCGCGGTAACGCTGTTGCATCGCAATGCGGAAACTCGCAAGCGCCAAACTCGGTGTGGCAATGTATAACCACACCTGATCGTCCAACCGTACAATCTGGACGTGCGATTCTGTGTCAATATTACGAAACAGCACAGTCGTGATCCGAATATTTACTCTGTGTTTCTATTCATGATTCATATTTTAACGTTCGAAATTCATTTTATATCGAGACTCTCGAGTTTTCACGAGAGAACGTTTTCTTTTCGAAGAATCGCTATTTTCTTTCTTTTTCTCTTGTAATGGTAAAAGGACACAAGTGATAGAGAGGGTAAAATTTTCAGAAATCACAATTTCATCTCGCCCGTAAAAGTTGTATTTAAAAAATTTGTAAAGGTACAAAAATGACAGATATTTTCATCAACGATACTTAAGAATCAATCAAAGCGAGAAAAAACAACCATAATCCTTGATTTAACCTGAATCTTTTCGCTGCGCGGAGCGATTTGCAGCTTTCAGCGACTGGCGAGACTCCGCGCGACGGAGTCGCTTGCAAAATGATCGGCCGAAAGCACTCATAAGCGCGATCCACATGCGTTTTTGCGACGGTCGCTGACATACGTCCCTGTCACGTCGCGGCATTCGACGTCAATCTTTTAACTCGCACGGGGCACAAAGACAAGACCGGGGGGCTTTTATATTTTCGCGAGAATACGCGAACGCAAAGTCGGATGCCGCACGCTCCAACGCCTATCGGATGATTCTGCTCGGCGGATCGAGAGAATTTAATGCGTGAACGCGGGAATACGTACATAGACGACGCGCGACGACGTGCCGATAGCGGCTTTGCGCGCGACCACCGCCTCCTCCTCCTCCTCCTCCTCCTCCTCCTCCTCCTCCGAGTCCCTATTTAAACCGAGCTTCCTCCGCGACCACCTCAAGTATCAAAGAATCGCAAGGAATGCGCATTTCCGCGTATCTTTCGACAGAGTGTAATCTGCAAAGAGCAGCTTGCGGGAGTTACAAACACGATTAACCGTGCGGATCGGAAATTACTCGGAACAGGAGATAATTGACCGTAATTAAATATTATAGATTAAAAACAGTCTGTGACTACTAAAGATAAAAAGATTGGCAGCACTAGTTTTAACGAGTTGGACAGGCGCTTATTTATAGCCCGAAGGGTGCATCGTTGAATAAATTCGAACTACGAGATGTAGTTCGCAAAGTGAAAGTGATATAGTCGAGAGCGAAAATATAATTCGCAAACCTCGCAAGGACGTAAAGGATAAGTGATGTTTCGCAATTTCCGCATTTCGCCTTCTTAGGTCGTCGGTTGCCTTTTAAAAATGCGACTTTCGCGATTCGATTTTCTCCTTACATTCCGCTGCACTTGAAAGACACGAGAGATGGCACAGGCAATATCAGCCATATCTCACTTCGTGTCTTGCGTGCGTGTAACGGGAATAAGTTTGTTGCGCATTTTGTCGAAAGTCAAAAGTGGCCAAAGTGGATTTTCAACGGTCGATCTGCTAACATTCGCTATACCGCGCAACTTTGCCAAAGTGTGCTGCTCGAGCACAGATTATCTAAAATTTTTCAAGTGTACAACGATGTGATGAGCAAACAGTTACTTTGGAACTTTGCGGAATCGAATCACTTCAAGATGTACACGATGTCGTCAACATAAATATTAGGGGGACCGGAAAGTAATGTCGTTTCTGCGCATGTCGATATTTGATTGTCATTTGTCAGCTCATTGTGTATCTCGAAGGCGTGCCAAAGTCATTTTAAGGTTATTGTGACTTGTTCACTTCTAAATAATTCAATATTAAACTCTTTTTTTGTAATTTGGGGTGAAATGGCTAGCCAAATACCAGAAGAGCATATTCGGCATTGTATGCTTTTTGAGTTTCGCAAGGGTAGTAACGCAACAGTTGCGACCAAAAACATTTGCGATGTTTATCCAAGTGCATTAGACGTTCGTAAATGCCAAAGATGGTTTTCCAAGTTCAGATCCGGTAATTTTGATCTCTCTGACTCCTATCGATCAGGAAGACCAACAACATTAGACAACGACATGCTAAGGGCAAAAGTGGAAGCAAATCCATGTCAAACAATCGAGGAACTGTCAAACACCCTTAACCAACCTTGGTCGACCATCCAGAAACATTTACAGCAGATTGGAAAAATAAGCAAAGCAGGTGTTTGGGTCCCCCATAATCTGTCCGAAGAGAACAAAGCCAACCGATCCATCATATGCAACGTATTGCTTCAACGCCACCATACAGAACCGTTTTTTGATCGTTTGATCACTGGAGACGAAAAATGGGTCCTATATGATAATCCAAAACGCAAAAGGCAGTGGCTCTCTTCAAACGAATCACCACGAAGTACTGCGAAGCCGGGTTTACATCCCAAAAAGGCGCTTCTGTGTGTTTGGTGGAGTATTCGCGGAATTGTTCACTTTGAAGTGCTGAAACTTGGACAAACTGTTAATGCAGACCTTTATTGTGAACAATTGGATCGAGTGAACCAATCTTTAATCGAAAAGTATCCGGCGATTGTCAACAGAAAGGGCGTCATTCTGCAACACGACAATGCGAGACCGCACTGTGCAAAGCGAACACTGGAAAAAATTAATGAATTGGGGTGGGAGGTACTGCCTCACCCACCATATTCGCCCGATATCGCACCCTCGGATTTCCATTTATTCCGATCCCTACAACATTTTCTTAGTGGCAAAAAATTTGAAAATTTGGATGATGTCCAAAATGCCATCTCGAGATATTTTACTCAAAAACCAATTGATTTTTATCGGTCCGGTATTGAAAATTTGCACACTAGATGGCAAAAGGTTGTTGATAACGAGGGTGATTATATTATTGATTAAAAATAAAGACTTATTAAAAATTTATTCGTTTGAATTTAATGTAAGAAAGCGACATTACTTTCCGGTCCCCCTAATATAATCAACGTAAAAAAATACAGTCGCGCGCGATTGACATATATATCAATATATTACAAAAGAAAAATAACCGATCGACCTAAAGATATAATCAAGTTTCACCAAGTAATAACCCAAATGCTAATTCTTTCCGATGCATCATGAATCGAAAAAGTCCCGACGTTGTCTTCCATTTGCAGCATAGCTGCACAGCAGCTAATGCTAAAAGTGATATTTTGCTGCCTTCTCGCATCTCGAATAAAGAGACGAGAACCCATCATCTACTTACTAGTCGCTTTATAAAATATTAATATCCCTCTCCGCCCTCTCCTTCTCACTCCTTTTCTCTCCATCTATATATTTCTCTCTCTCTCTCTCTCTCTCTCTCTCTCTCTCTCTCTCTCTCTCTCGACGAATCGATAACAGGATCTTCGGGTTCTCTCTAGTATAAAATTCCTCTCCGCATTTCAGATTATTAAAGAGCTTCCTTTTTGCAGGAGCGTAATCAGAGGAGAGCGCTTCCGCACTCTTGCTTTCGTCGCTCATTTCGAGGGTAAGTTTGTTTAGAAGCGGCGTACAAATTTAATAACCGATTTCTCAGAGAGACTTCCAATACCATCCGCGCAACAACGATCGTAAGCAAGTATCGTTGTAAAACATCATTTTATGATTCTTGGCCCCCCCCTCCTCTTTCCTACAATTTCTAAATTAATAAAATCTATTTGCCAAAACTTTATACAAACTTTCAATCGCGAGAAATTTGCCGATATCCCGTAAGCGCGAAAATCGGCGCTGAAGATAAGCGAATAATCTCAAAATCTCGGTTGGACTCGGTCCATCTGCAATTTGGTCAAGATATGTAAATTGCACGGATCCTGCTTCACGTTCATACAGCATTTGCCACGGACAGAATTCCCGGATACCGACACCATCAAGTGCGCGGAATAAGCCGCGTTTCACCGCGAATTACACCTAAGATTAAGTCGCTCGCTACTATGTAATGTTACTACGTAACTGCGTAACGTCTTTTAATTCTTATTCATTAATCATAAATTACAATCAAAAAATCGCCAATTCGACCAATAAAACATCCGCCAATCTCTGTGCAAAATTTATAAGAAACGTACAATATATATCCAGCTTTGTTTAGAAATGTACAAGATCTATCAGACTATCAGACCGTCTCATTCTTCTCATTTTCCAGGACAACAACTGGGTCGAGAAGGACAAAGTGAGAAAATTGCGGAGGGCGGAGAAAAAAATACAGGGCTAGAGCGGATTTAACAGTTAACAGCGATGCCGGATGGTTAACGAGGGCCTTACGACGAGAGGTGCCGCGCTTTCGCACCAGCGACTCGCGCCGCACGAGTTTACGCGCGGCAACTTTTAAGCCGAGGTATTACCCGCCACGCGCGCGCGCGCGCGTACGCGCACGCGGCGTTAATTAATAATTAAAAATGCACCGGCGCCGCTAAGTTTTGCACGTACACCTCGCGCCGGAGGAAGCATCGACGTCACGTGCAGTGCGCGAGAAGAGGGACTCGACGTGAACGTAAAGCGTCGCGGCGCAAAGCGTGCGCGTGCGGTACGACGCTGCGCGTTGTTAATACCGTAAGGATTAATTAGCAACGTGGCAATTTATCAGAGGCTGATATGCGTCGGTCGTGCGTATCGGAAAAAGCTGCGCTAAAGCTTCGCCGATTCGCAACACCTTTCCGAACATCGTAAATTATTTTGACAAGAAACGAGATTTGTTTCTGGATCAAAGTCTCTACTTAACCAAGATGCTAAATCAAACCAAGATGATGAAAGAGAAATGTCACTATTCTGCTGACTATTTATTATTTTTAGTTTGATAAAATCTATCCAACTATATATATATATATATATATATATATATATATTGCTATTCCATTTATATAAAATTGACTAAAGATAACAAACGAACGTGCAGTGATGAAATGTAACTCTGATAAAACAAAAGTAATTTAAGAAAGTGCACGCACCGACTTCTCAACGGCGGATAATTACGGGTAACGTTGAGTGGCCATAGGATACGAGAAGGAAAGAATTCGTCGAGACACAACAGTGCGAAATGGGATCCCCCGAGCGATAGAAACGTCAGACATAAGTAACGTGATTACGCGCGGTAAATGAAATATTAAGTATAATTGTTCGGAGAGAGAGAGAGAGAGAGAGAGAGAGAAAGGGAAAATGATTCTTTCTCACGGAAACAAATAAATTCCTCAAACGATAAAAGAGAGAAACAATAGATCTTTATGGTTACTTTTATTCCATCCGTCGACAAATACAAGACAACGCAGAGAGTTCCGACACAATCGAGCCGGAATAAAGAACAACTGCGACAACCCCCTATTAATCAAGACAAATTCCCCATTGATAGGCAGTATCGATACCGCGATACTCACGTCATCGCGACCGGCGTAAATCTTGCCGCGAGAAATCACCTTCAGTCACCGTCACATCCCATCATGAAACTCCCTTTATCCTGCCGGACGTGCGGGCCGTCTCTCATGTCTCTCTTTCGAGACAGCGAAAAGCTCCTTCGAGCAAGGAGCTTCCCCTTGCCTCCCCTAAGTTCTCCCTCCCCCGCCACTTTTCTTTCCCTCCTCACGTTCAGACCGTATCCCGCCGCGTCCCTTCGCATCCGTTTAGGATCCGGAGCTTCGGAATGGTTAGCCGTTACGCCTTACGAGACTCAGAGCGGAAAGCGCAGTCGAGTCTCGCACTCGAGGGCGCCTTTAATTGGATTCGATTGATTCGATTAAACTCGCCCCTTCCGCCGCCTGGCGGGAAGGGCCATTTAAATTCGACCGGCGCGATAATCCACACCGTTCTCATGAGATCGTTCCCGCTCGCGCGGCGACGAGAAGCTCCTCTCTCTCTCTCTCTCTCTTTCTCTCTCTCTCTCTCTCTCTCTCTCTCTCTCTCTCTCTCTCTCTCTCTCTCTCTCTCTCTCTCTCTCTCTCTCTCGCTCGCTCGCTCGCTCGTTCCTTCGCCACCGGCTTCGGTCGAGACGCGCCCCGCTCGTTTCCCGCTTTTCTCGCCCTGCCTATTTCCGAATCGACGAGACTCTCGTAGGCGTCTTTTTCAGCGTCGCTCTCGTTCAGCGTCGCTTTCTGCGAATCGGCCAAAGCGAGGGAGCGCCAGCGCCAGCGCCGACGAGGGACTCTGCGTGTAACTCGATTTTAAGTGGCCGGACGACCCTCGATAAGGAGAGCCACTCGAAACGACATTATTACGTAGAACGTCTCGAAACGGCGAGGCGCCTCAGACTTCGACTCGCGTTCCGCGGAATCAGCCGGATTTATTTCGACTGCCGGATTAAAGTTGCCTCTCTCTTTCTCTTTCTTCTTCTTCTTCTTATTCCTCCCTCGCGCGCGCGCGCGCGCGCGCGAGAAGCACATTTAGCGCCAAAGTGTTCGGCAATTTTGAAATTTCTCCCCGAGAGCTTACGTCGTTTGAAATTATGCTGGGCGATAAATTATTCCGAATCTTTCTTCTTCGTCACTGTTCTATCGTTAATTTACGTCGCGCAACTACTTTCAATTTGCGAGAAAGGTCCGATTTAAATAAATGTTCCCCCTTTCCTTCCTTCTTCGCCTCTCAATGTGCTCTCGCCGTAAAAAATCTGTACGTTTGCGTCTCGATACGCACCGGCCGACCTAGTAATGTCGAGTGATTTACATCCTCTCCCCCTCCGTTGCCCTCCCACGCGTTCGCACAGTTTGTCCGCTTCGCCGATCCTATCGTCACCTCAGGATCAGGTCGAATCAATTCGTATCACACGCTCGGGATCGTTATCGCGGTAGAAAGCCCTTTGAGAGAATTTTCGAGGACTCGACGAAATCAACTTTGGACGGTCGATAATCTCGGAACGAATCTTCCCAAGGCGAACTTGTTTTACGAGTCATTTGTAGGATCACGCGGTGACATGTAGAGCTCCATTCACGGGAGGGTGTACCGGAAACGTCGGTCTGAAGGGAGAAATGTGCGAGAGCGAGAGGGAGAAGGAACGGCGAAGATGGCTTATATAGCCTGTATGTCGTGCTTTAGTGTAACATTGTCCTATTTGGCGTCCATTAGGAGACCACGTTAGCTCTCTTACCATCCTTTCTCATCCCTTTTCAGCTTTCATCTCGACCTCCGCACGCGCTCTCGCCACCGGCGTCTATTTCGCCATCCACCCTCTGACCAACCCGCCCGCCCTCCCCCGCCGCACACATTATTACTCTTGCCGGGGGATAGAGAATAGTGCGCGCGCGATTGTCCCTCCCCCCCCCGTCTCGTGGAATCCAAACAACAAGCAAAGTTACGACCGTTAGATCCCGGTCGGCGATAACGAAAATACAGTCGTCGCGAAATCGCGACACGGACATCTTTATTGCTTATTGCATTTCTCAGTCGAAACTGATTAACCGCGCTCTGCGTTCGCTGTCGCGTGTCAAAGTCAGCCGAGTCAGCCGAGATGCAGGCTTTGCGCGACGCGCGACTCGAGAGCTGATCACTCGAGCGCTGATTTGAGATTACAGACTTGTCCATACTTGTCCGATACACCCAACGCGACACCGAGTGAGATAACACAACGGGGAGAACGACTCGAACGGAACGGAACGGAACGGAACGAAACGACTACACGCTTCGTTCGTTGCGACTCCTCAAGCAATCGTTCGTTGCGACGATCGTCAGCAACGCGCGGCGCGGGCTGCTTTAAAACGCCCGGTGTGATTCACGCGGCGAAGCCACGATATTCAGCGTAAAATTCACTTGTTGTCGAGCTCATAAAGTGCGCTCCTAGAACGCCTCCGCCTATCCTCTCTACTAGGGGGTGGCGGCGGCTTATCGCCCGGAACAACGCGTCCTCCGCAGCCGCTAGTAGGCTACGTTTCGTGCGCGAGAGCTTTAAGCTCGCCGACGTTCATTATTCGCCGGTATCTGCCGCCAAACCGAGCGCTGCGCAACTCGCCGCCGCCGCCGCCTCTCTCTTCTCGCTCTCGCCTACCCTCTGTACCTACCCTAGCCTCGATTTTCATCGCCCACACAGTCATTCCAGAGGAGTTTCCCGCGTTCCGCGGGCGGTATACTCGCGCACGGCGTGCGAGCGCGAGCGCGCTCGGCAAACTTTACAGGAAACACCCTCATCGGACAAGAGCGTTTTCAGTTGTTCCGAGCACTCGGCTCTTTAATATTCTCTCTACAGTGTTTTCATTGCAGTGGCTGCCCCTTGCGAACTCTCACTCTCCCCTCTCCGTCGTTTCGACTACACCCTTTTCGCTCCTCACTCTTTCCCGAGCTCTCTCCTCATCCCCCTACCTTAGCCCCCCTCCGACCACCTTCTCGTCTCTTTTGCCTCCGCCTCTCTCTCTCTCTCTCTCTCTCTCTCTCTCTCTCTCATTGTCCCCGTTTCTTCCTTTCAATTACTTTTCTTCGACGGCCCGAAGCGGCTCTGAGCGTTTACTTCTCTCGCGATTTTATAGAGGCACTAAATACACACACACACTCTCTCTCTCTCTCTCTCTCTCTCTCTCTCTCTCTGTGCCTCCCATCACATCGCGTTTCCCATCTTATCGCAACGTGACTTTAATCGCGAGCTTAATCGGGAAAATCGTTCGCGCGCAAACGTTACGTCGCGCGCGGCATCTCTCCGGGAGAGACGCGGAAGTTAATTAAGCGAGAGTGGCGAGGTATCTCTTGATTTCTGCAATTCTCGGCCGGCTTGTAAATCCGCGGGGAACGTAAACACGCTTCGCCTTGAATTTTTCTCGAATCTCCACCCGTTCGCCATTTATCTCCCTCGTGTCGCTGAAGAATTTTCATCGTGGATGCAATTGCATCCCGCTTAATTGACTTTCGTCGTGATATCAAAGCCGTAGCTTCGCGATGTGTCAATGAATAAAAGAAATATCCTCGAAAAGAACACTTCATTACTACACGCCCGTTATAGATCTCTCTTTCTCTCTCTCTCCCTCTCTCCTCCCTATTCGTCTGGAAAGGATACAAAAGACGAAACGATTAAATTCATACGTCCGTGATTCTCTCTCTCTCTCTCTCTCTCTCTCTCTCTCTCTCTCTCTCTCTCTCTCTCTCTCTGTCGCGCCATTTTGCCATTTTTATTTCACCGTATTCTTATTGAACGTTTTTCTCAACTTGTTAACTGCATTTCTGCCCCGCTCTATGCATTCAAGATATAATTATAAAAAAAAGAAATTATGACATCGCGCTGTGTGTCAAAGCGCTATTAAGTATTCCTCGCACTTGGCCATTTTCCGTTGGTCCCATCTTGCGGGATTGAGA